TGAACTTCCTTGTGTTTTAAAACATAAATAAATAAATAAATAACACTTTTGTATTATGCCCTTTTTGGTCATTATACACTCACAGCACTTCTAAAAAAAAGTTTACCAAACGCTATGACACTGTTTTTTTTACTCACAGCACTTTTACAAATACGAATTACCAAACACCTAGCTGCTTCACTTCACAGCTGTTTATTCTCGCAGCACAGCAGAAGCAGTTTTTTTAAAAAGCACAGCAATACCAAACTAAGCCTAAAAAACAGTAACAACCGCAGAGCCGCAGTTAAAGCATTAGAGAAGCTGATGTTGCTGCAGACAGGGCAGCAGCAGCACGCAACTACGAGAAGTCACAAACTCACAACACAAGAAGAACTTCAAACTGAAGCAAACTTTCTTCTACATTTTCGTTTGTTTGGTTAATTGCGCAGCGCAGGCATCTAAATGGTTCAAACTCTGGACAGTCGAGCAGAGCTGAAAAAGTCTCCATAATTAGCTCCAACTTTTTGGCTTTGTTTGGTTCACCATCATGTGAGCTTGGGTGGGCTGGGACCCCTAGAGGATGCCAAATTTCTTATCTTATTTAATAATAAAACCCTAAGCAGAAAAACTTTTGTTTGATAATCTATTTTAAACTAATCTAAACTACGGGAAGGGGATTCGAACTCGGATGCAGAATATGGAGCATATTCGCTCTATCCAACTTGGCTAAGTCCATATCTAATGAAGAAAAACTTTGACCATTTAGCTTATCACCAAAACAAAAACCTTATATTGGCCTGACCATTTAATAAATTTCGGGTTCACAACACTTCAATTGTTGCACCCAGTTTAGCAGGCTAGGAAAATTTAAAAAAAATTCAAGGTCCTCAAGGAAACACAATTTTGTACACATTTGCTGTTAGGCAAGCTCAATTTTCTCAAAAACGATGCAAGAGGCTTGTAGTTCAAGTGGTTAACAATATTTACCTATGCATTCAATGTCATAAGTTCGATTTCCCCCTCTCCAATATCTTTTGTATAAAAATAGAAATAAAAAATCTCTCAAAACTGTAGACTTGTCAATAGATGCATAAAACATCTCATTTTCCACATTAATAACAAGCAAACTTTTGGGGAATGCATTAACAATGATCAATGTTTTTTTTGTGAGAGTGCAAATAACATTACGATTGCAAAAGAGTGTGAGCCATCGCCTGAATAACATTAGAACATTTACTTGTATTTATAAATAAAAAAAATTAAAAAAACATAAAGTGACATTGCCTAGAAAAGAAAAATATAAAGGTGGGACAAAATAAATCACAAAGAAACCAAATAAGGAATGGCTGTACGAATGAAAACACTACTAAAAGTGAAGCCAATAAATAAATTTGTCACAACGCCCATGCACGTACCCCCTCCCCTGCACCGCCCATCACCGTCCATTGGTTAAATCCGACGGTCCACGTTTCCTCTCTTCCCGCCTCGTCCCCACCAAAACCCTCTCTCTCTCTCTCTCTAAAAATTAAAAACCGGCCGTTTCGAAGGATATCAGGCCCACACGATCTCATCTCCAACCTTGGCTTCTCTCTCTCTCTCTCTCTCTCTCTCTCTCTCTCTTTTTTCCTTCTTTCTCTTTCTCTCTGTAAAGTTTCTCTCTAACCCCTTGGAATTGTTCCAAAATTCGTTTACCTAGATTTTCGATCACACAAAAACCTTTAGCATCTCATACATTCATACATATAAAAGGTATATAACTTTTGTCTATACATATAAGAATTGGAGCTCCTTTGCGATCAATTTCGCGACGTAAGTCCCTCCCTCCTCCTCTGCGACGAAGTTTGATCCCTGCCATGTTTCATTAGCGATTTCAATACAATTCATGAAAATTACAATGAGAAACGAATTTTCGACAATTCATGTTGTTATTTGTTATTGATCATATGCATGGGTTTGCTGATTTTTATATGTTTCATTATTTGACGCAGTTAGCCGAGGATCTGTTCGGGCTTTGTTCGTATTGATCGATGTGAGGATTTCTCCTCACGCTAAGCGGTATGTAATTATTGGTTTCAATTTTTTAGTTTAGGAATGCTCAATTTTTGCTTTGGGAAACAAAAAATGGCTGGGAGGGGATGTCGTAATGGGATGGAATTATACAATTATGTTTTTTTGTTGCATTTTGGGCCTTCCAATTCAAAAGTTAGCCGTTTATGTTCCCATCTTAACGATTTTTTTGATTATTGAAGCTGAAAGTAGCTGAAATTTTTAGAATTCAAATTGCTTCTATGTTTTTGAGAGTTTAAATTTAGATTCTTTCTGTGTTTATATACTGTTAATTTGTGTTTTTGTTTTTTATGATTATTTAGAGGTTTGGAGATGGCTACTGGGAGTAACATAGATATGCTATCAACCCAAGATAATAATCTGCAAAGACCCAATGGGAATTTAGAAGATGCTTTACAGAGTGAGCTTGAACTGATTTTAAGAGAGCAGCGAAATCAGCATGCCATTCATCGGGAAAGGGATCTGAATATATATAGGAGTGGCAGTGCCCCGCCAACTGTTGAGGGATCGCTAACTGCTGTGGGTAGTCTCTTTGGGAACTCTGATTTTAGGGATGTCACTAGTAGGATTAGTAATAACAATGGGGTTTTGTCTGAGGATGAGATTCGATCGCATCCTGCTTATCTTTCGTACTACTATTCACATGATAATATTAACCCAAGATTGCCTCCACCATTGTTGTCAAGAGAGGATTGGCGTGTTGCTCAAAGGTTTCAGGTCGGTGGGTCTTCTTTTGAGGGCATTGGGGACTGGCGGAAGAAGAAATTGGTAGATGACGGTGATAGTTTGTCGCTGTTTTCAACGCAGCTGGGGCTTTCCGTACAAAAGGCAGAGAATGATTTGATGGAGTTGAGGAATGGCAATGGAAGCAATCTCCCTAAACAGACTTCATCTGAGTGGCTTGATAGAGGCTCAGATGGTTTAATTGGTTTGTCGACAAGTGGGCTTGGTGCAAGGAGGAAGAGTTTTGCTGACATTTTACAGGTAATCAGCACTATAGTCAAGACTTCACTCTGTAGCATTTATGTAGTTCTTGGATAGACTTCGATTGTATGGTTTTCTTTCTGGATTTTGTTTGGATGCCCTTTAACAGCTAATATTGGTATTTATTTATTTCTCACAATTTGTATACTTGGGCTTCTTCATGTTGTTGATCACTGTCCCCCTTTAATTAGTATTGCTCTTGTGGGGAGGACTAGATGTCAGTTTGAAGCTTGCATACAGTTTATGCATACTTTCATTTTAGATTTGATATTTATTGCATACTACACGTGATCACACATTTCCATAAGTCCTGGGACACCCGTATGGGGATAAAGAGCAAGGATGTAGCCAAGAGCATGATCCTACTCTTTAGAATCACTGTTGCAACTATCTGAACTGACTTCTGTTGGAAGTGCTAGCTTTTATATTGTGTGCACATGACATAACAAATGCATCACGTTGTGCAAAGTTCTCATTTCTTTTTTCTTTTTCCTCTTCCTTTCTAGATATCAAGAAAGTGCAGATGTTTATTAGTTCTTCCTGGTTCTTATGCAGAAATTTTCATCATCCGGATTCTTTAAATTAATATGCTTGTATTTTCTCTTTGCCAAATAAATTCAAACGATGTGGTTTGGCTTGCCATGCACAACTACTGTGATGAAGTGCTTTGTTGTTTTGTTCTTGTTTCATATATTAGTGCCCTGTTTCATTGATAACTGGCATGTGCTGCAGGAAGGACTTGATCCACCTGCTTCCTTGACAAGGCCATCAAGTCGTATTGCTTTTAGTGATATCATGGATTCCACAGGCATGGCTGATGCCCGGCCAGTGGGGTTATGTAATGGAGTGGAGTCTGCAGAGGGCTTGCATAATGGAGCAGCTTCACGTGGCCTGGTGGGAGTTCAGAGCCATGGTACAGCGGCTTCTCATTCCTTTGCATCTGCTGTGGGTCCTTCTCTGTCAAGAAGCAGAACCCCTGAACAACAACTATTTGGGAGGTCTCCCAGTGCTGGTCTTCCTCCTGTGGGGAGTAGAGTATTTCCTGTTGAGAAGAAGAATGTTGCAGGTCCAGATATGCCAAAGGATAATTCTTCTGGCATGAATGATCTGGATATTGCAGCCAAATTATCTGGCTTAAGCCTGTCAAAAGGTAGATCTGTAGATGAAGATAGCCGTATTCAGTCTCAGCTTCATTTGGATCTTGATAAACAGCGTGATTTTCTGTTCAACATGCCAAATGGTCATAATCAGAGGCTGCAGCAGCAACTGATAGAGAAGTCAAATGCTGAAAGTTTTTCTCTTGCTTCGAATTATCCTCATTTAGCAAAACAAAATGGGATCATGACAAACCGTAATACATCTGATGGGCAAGCTAATTTTGGCAGAAGAACTTCTTCTGCCAGTCTTTACTCAAAAGGGAGTTCTTCAGGCTTTGGAACTTTGGAAGGATCTAATGTTCATTACCAAGATGCAAATACTCCAGGCATGGAGTTTCATGGCCATTCTGGGGCCTATCCTGTGAATCCAAAGTTGAATATGACAATTAATAATCATCTTGATGCAGGTAATTATGTTTCTCAAATTTCTTCTGCAATTTTTTTTTTATATAAAAAAAGAACCCTCAGTATTTTGTTTGAATAAGTTAGTTAGCATTGACAGTTCTCTCTCCCCCCTCTCCCCTCATTTTTTTGGAGTGCAGCAGCATTGACTGGTAGTGGTGATGGGCATAGTCCGAACAGACTGGGAAACAAAGTAGGGTCTGGTCTTCATTCTTCAGTTATGGACCGATCTTATATTCAGTTTTTGCAAAGAGCTGACTATGCAACACGTAATGTTACTAGTCCAAGTGGTTATCCTCCCAGTAAAAATCACTTTGGCACTTTGCATGGAGACTTAGAGGGGCTTCAGAAAGCATATTTTGAGGCATTGCTTGCTCAACGGAAGCAACAGTACGAGTTGTCACTTTCAGGTAAATCTGGTGGATTTAACCATGGGTATTATGGGAATCCATCATATGGGCTCGGCATGACATATCCAGGAAATCCAATGGCAAATTCTGTTCATCCTTCTGTTGGATCTGTTAGTCCAATGTTTCAGAATGAGAAGATTGAACGCTTTAATTCAATGTTGAGAAGTCCAATGGGAGGGTCAGTTAGCTCCTGGCAATCAGAGATTGGAAATGACCTAGAAGGACGACATGCATCATCATTATTAGATGAGTTCAAGAACAATAAGAATAAGTCTTTTGAACTTGCAGACATTGTTGATCATGTAGTTGAGTTCAGGTACTTATAATACTTTCTTTTGTGCATATTCTTCTTAGATTGTTTTGGCTGCAATTCTGACTGCTCCATCTTCTCCTCAAAATACAGTACCGATCAGTATGGAAGTCGCTTTATTCAGCAGAAACTTGAAACTGCCACTGCGGAAGAAACGATGAAGATATTTCCGGAGATTATTCTTCATGCTCGTACCTTGATGACTGATGTATTCGGAAATTATGTCATACAGAAGGTATAAGCTTTGTATTCCAATACTAAAAAAATGCAATCCTTACAGTTCAAAACTATTAATTTAATTGTGTGAATTTGCAGTTTTTTGAGCATGGTACAGAAAGCCAAAGAAATGAATTAAGCAGCCAACTCACTGGCCATGTTTTGCCTCTCAGTCTTCAAATGTATGGTTGCAGGGTGATTCAGAAGGTGATTTTCCAATCCTCAAATTTTGATCTTCTTCCTATTTCTATCCTTTTAGTAATGTCTTTCTAGATGTTTCCTCAAAATTTGCATTAGCATTGATATGAAATCAGTTTGTCCGGTTTTTGCTTTGTGGAACTCTTTCTAGCATAGCATTTGTTGTTATTCTTGCCACTTAAGCTCTTCGTTTTGCAAATGATGTGCTATAATGTATTTGACTATTTTGTTTCATGAGATGTTTATCTCATTGGACAAGAGAAAGATAAAGTTGGAAAGATGAAAAAACGTTTTGGAAAAATTCAAGAAAGATGCCCTCCCACATGTTAAGCATGCTTGTGTCTTGTATGACCCTCATTTTGACTGATGACTATGTGCTTTTATGCTCTCTCCTATGATATGGAAAAGACACTTTGGTGGATGGAAGAAAACAAAGAGCCAATCATATTGTTTAAGAATTGTTTAAGCTTGGTATGAGATGAAGCATTCTGGGAAAATAAGTTGTAATGCTCTAAATTTTACCATAGGCCTTGGAAGTGGTTGACGTTGATCAGCGGACTCAAATGGTGGCAGAGCTTGATGGTTCAGTCATGAAATGTGTCCGTGATCAGAATGGGAATCATGTCATTCAGAAGTGTATAGAATGTGTCCCTCAAGACCAAATTCAGTTTATCATTACATCCTTCTATGGGCAAGTTGTCACACTTTCCACCCATCCTTATGGTTGCCGTGTCATACAGGTTAGTTGTTGGCATGTTCTTTCCTTTTGTAGGGAATTGTTATGTTTACTAGTGCAAATCTCTTTTGATGCCTACAGAGGGTTCTGGAACATTGCGATGATTCAAATACACAACAAATTATCATGGATGAAATCATGGAATCTGTATGCATTTTGGCACAAGATCAGTATGGAAATTATGTCATTCAGGTATCTTTATACTCTTTAGAAACTGTTATGTATATGTTTGAGCTACAAGGATTATCTTTAGTTATTTTTTCCATCAATAGCTGCAGATTGTTTATTAGTATTTTGTTAAATGAGTTAAATCCCAGAAAATGTGCATCGTGTCAGATGGAAATGCTTTTTAAAAAAAAGGAAAAGAAAATTGGATTTTGCTTCATGAGCGGACATATTGTCCTAACTAGATAACAACTTAATTGGTTAGAAAATATTATGCTCATGCTGACCAGATTTGATCTTGTTTGGGATTATTATTATGAGCATTTGTACAGAACTGGACGCTGAGGTACCTGATATATATATTCGTATTTCTATGCCTTAAATAATATTATTTATGATATGTCTCTCACATCATCTTGTTTGGGATTATTCTGCGCATTGGCACAAAACTGGATGCCAAGGTACTTGATATTTTATAGACTACATGCTTGAAAGCCGATGCTATTTATGATGTGTTCTCCCTTTGTGAACAATGTTAGTGTTATGTCTCTTTGAAAGCCTACACGATTTGTGATATGTAACATCAGCTATGTGTACCTGATGTGAATGCTCATGTACTCATCATCAACTGTGTGTATCTGATATGACTATTCTTGTTTGGTAGCACGTCCTTGAACATGGTAAACCACATGAACGGTCAGAAATTATCCACAAGCTTGCAGGACAAATTGTAAAGATGAGTCAGCAGAAGTTTGCTTCTAATGTTGTGGAGAAATGCTTAACATTTGGGAGTCCTGAGGAGCGCCAGTTTTTGGTGAATGAGATGCTGGGTTCCACTGATGAAAATGAGCCCTTACAGGTCTGTTCCATTCCTAGTTTTCTTAAACCTTATACAGTTTTTCTACAGAAGATAATATAGGTTCTGAATCTAGTCTATATTAGTGGTGGCAATTTTTTGCGCAAAATGGTAACACAACTAAAAAACGATTGGTTACAACCGTGCTTGCATGTTTGTGTAAAAATTGTGTCAACCTGTTCAACACGATTAATATTCAAATCAATATATATCACGTTGACCTGCCTAACCTAAGTCCTGCAACCTGAGCCTTATGTTTCATACTCTTAGAATGTATGTGTGTGTATGTGTGTGTGTGTGTGTAGGTCATGAATTTATTAGTGCCTGTTGTGTAACCAAATTTCAAAAATGCAAATACGCAGGCCATGATGAAAGATCCATATGGAAACTATGTTGTGCAAAAGGTTCTTGAGACTTGTGATGATCAGAGTCTTGAGTTGATTCTTTCTCGCATTAAGGTTCATTTGACTGCCCTGAAGAAGTATACCTACGGCAAACATATCGTTTCTCGTGTTGAGAAACTCATCACAACTGGAGGTGAGGCTTTTCCTACGGAAATTATGGACGTTATCTTTTTACATATACACAAAGCACAAGGACCGCTAACAGATCTTTGATCTATCAAATGCAGAAAGGCGCATAGGGATGTCAGCCTCGCATTCTTCTTGAGGCATCCAATTCGGAGCAAGCACGGCATTTTTCCTGTTGCCACCACCAATAAGTATGCACCTTTTGTACAGCTAACATGGACAGTGACCTTAGCAAGTTCATTTGATCGTATAATATACAGAGAGACTATAGTTGTAAATAAGCATGAAATCCAGAGGCCCCTGCGATATGGAATTTTTGTCTATCCGCCTCCTTGTATATATTTTTGGCTCACCAATTCTAATCTGATCATGAAGACTCCACATGGAGGAGGAGGGTAATTCTAGCCTGTGGAGAAGTACGTGTAAAAGGTTCATTGTCTATATTACAGTATTAAGTGTAAATGGTTAACTGCATTTTGAAAGAGAGGGTAAATAGGGTTATGTATGGTGGGGTCTTCGACTTTGAGAACTACATCTTGTAAATATACTGCAACTTTCTCCAGGAGGAATCAAAATAACATTTAATTCACCTCTTTTTTCATTCTCGTGTTAAAAAAGATCTTATTCACAGCCAAATGGCAAATTAGACACAAAGGGTTGTCACCTTGTCACTTTCCCAAGGGCTTTAAAAGCGTTTTGAAAAAGCATAAAAAAGGGCTTTACAAAGCGAATAAATCATTCGAGCCTGGAACAACAAAAGCACCTCCTGGTTTCAGTTCTATTATCGGCATCAAGCCATGCCAAGCTTGTTCTCCACTTTTTCATTTCCGGGTAGTGATTGCACTGCGTGGGTCTTTGTCGATTTAAGCTTTCTCATTTGTTGTTTTGAACTCTTCAGGCAAAAGATGTTTTACTGAATGTTCTTTGTAACTAAGCCTGTTCTTAGTAACTCCATCAGAAGACTCACTTCAGCTCTCCTAATTTTAGTCTAGAAGCAACTTCTTACCAGTCTTCCATTGGGCTATGTACTGAAAATCATCTACTAAGTACACTCTGCCACCTCCTTTCCATCTTCATTCTCAGAACCTGAATCCCAACGATCAGCGAACCGGCTATTCACTCTCCTAGTTTTCAAGATCGTCGCCGATTCCCTCATCAAATTAATGTACTTATTCCTTACCCTCAAAAGTGGATGCCTCTCAATAGCAGATTCATCACAGTAAGCCTCTTTAAGGATGGCCGTACAAGTCTTGTTCCTCAAAGACAAATAAAACATACTGGGATGCCTCTCAAATGCTTTGTGCACCTTCTGTGGCAGCCCCATGTGCTTCTTAAGACACAGAAGCTTCTTCCTCTCCGCCGAATGCTCAACAAAGAGACTAAGCAACTCATGAAGAAGCCCCACAACTCGTTTTTCAGATATGTCACTATCCGGTTCCAAATGCGAAAAATCCTCATAAGGTGAAACATAGGGAAGCTTCTGAAACTCCTTTAACCAGTCCACAATCTTCCTCCTCAACCTCAGACCCTTAGATGGGAAAAGAGGAAACTCAATTGCCTCCATTGGGTCTCCAACATACACCCCTTTTTTCATTGCATTCCTTTGCACCGTAGACAAGACCTTTTCACCACTCTCCACAGCCAATCCCTTTAACCCATCTTCCATCTCCACAAACCTAAAAGACTCATCCAGATTCTTATCCGGGTGCTGCAAGAAATCGTCAGGCAAACCCAAATACCACTGCATTCCTTGTATTATTTTCAAAGGCAAAACCTTCTCTTTACTCATCAGGATAAACTTTTTCAACCTATCCCTCAAGTCCTCCCTGCAATCCTCATAAACCCTTTTCTCCTCCCTATCAATCTCATCAGCTTCTGGGGTCAACCTAAACCAGGGAAGATTGTATTGTGGACCAGTAAACTCTTCAAAGATTGATGGGTAGAGCCTCAAGAACCTTGCAACCTTCATGGGGACCTCCAATTGTATGCCCCTTTTGGACACATCAGAGATTGGGATGCAACCATTGGGGTCCTGGGAAATGCAGTTCTTGAGAGAGATGATGGGTTTAAGCACTATGGACTTGTGAATTTGCTCGATTGAATCATAGTACGAGTCTTTCTTCCATTTCATGTAGACATCGACATAGTTGAATTTCTGGGTGTATGTGTGAGGAGGGTTATGGGGATGGCGCAGGAAGGAAAAGATTGTTTGTTCAGAGGGGAAGATGAGGTTTTTTAGGGTTTTGCAGGTGGGTTTGTTGAATAACATGTATAGGGTTTTAGTAGGTACCTTCTACCCTGTATGGGTTTTAGGAAAATCTACAAATTTGTAGAGTTTTTGAAGGGTTAGGGAGGGTTTGCGTTTTACCCGATGAGAATAAAAATTGCAGCAATGGCACGAACAATACCGTGTCTTAATGAAAGACCCTTTTTTACCCAAAAAAAATAAAATAGGGTTAATTAGTGATTTGCCCCTATTGCAAATCTAGAGAAAGATAGGCCCTAGCAAATTAATCACCTCATATTTAAACATGGAAGCGGCTGTTGTAGCAGGTTAAGGCCATTGTTTTGCTGCTCCCAGTTATGAACCTCCTCTGCTACGGCCTTCTCCTTCTCCTTGATCTATTCACAAATTGGGCATAGGAAAACAGAAACCATAAAAATAAAATTACAAAGAAGCAAAATAATTAAAGACATATGATGGCACAATTTGCAGAAATTGCAGCAGAATTTATCCAACAATTCAAGTACTTTTAAATACTTTCCCCTAAACCCTTGTAGAAATTGTATCATATACAAACCCAAATACTTTCCCCTAAACCCAAATTGTAGAAATTGCAGACGAACTTGTTAATTTGAAGCACAAACCCAAACCCTTCCAAGCAAAAACCTAGAAACCCATATCAAATTTCAAACCTAGAAACCCAGAAACCCATATACAAATTTCAAGTAATTAAAAGGGAATTTTCAAATCTCACCTGGAAACACCACTTCAGAGTTCAAAGAGGGTGGAGAAACAGAGAAAACAGAGATTGAGATGGAGACTTTGACAGAGAGAATAGAGATGGCAATGGAGACTTTGACAGAGAGAATAGAGAGAAACGATGAAGTTTTGGGTTTGGCGAGCCTTGAATTTCTCTCTCCTCCTCTCTACATGTAGCGAGCCAAAATAGCGATAGCCAAAATGGCGAGAGAAGTAGCGAAGCTGCTGGAGGGTTGTTTTTCCTTCTTTTTCGCTAAAATAGCTAGGGATAAGGGAGTAGCGATGCTCCTGGAGATGCTCTTACTCGAGAGAGAGACGTGAAAAGACAGAGAGTGGGGGGGAGAAGAAGGAGGGGGTGGGCACATGGAGGGATAAAAGATAGAGGGTTGAGGATCGTGATGTAGGGTGGTAATGTTAGTGGCTGCCAGACAGAGGGTGAATTTATCATCATTATTTCAATTTTTAATTTTTTCTAAATTTTATTTCTATAATTATAATTTTTAACATATGAAATGACGAATATGCCCCCATATTTAACGGCAAATTGGATAAAATGTTGAGGATTAAAATGGTACGGGAGAAAACGATGAAAAAAAAGTTCATATCCTAAATTTTCTATAATACAAACAAAGAATAGGGGGTTAATCGAAAGCTATGTATAAGTTCAGGGGGCAAATCACCAGTTAACCCATTAAAATAAAATTTAAAAAATTATTGAATAAATGAATAAAAAATGGCCCAACCGGGTTCGAACTGGTGACCTCATGATCTACAATCAAACATGCCTTTCAAGTGCTCTTCCACTGAGCTATGGACCCGTGGATGAGTAATAGTTTTATATTAAAATTACTTATCTCATTACACCAACTCTTCATCTCATACATACGCATTTTATAATTCTTCTTCAAATTTCAAAAGTGAAAAAGATCAGCACCATCCCTAGTTTTTCATTCTTTTCTTCCATTTCACAAAAACAAACCAGAAAAACCTGTACTTGAAAAGAGAGACAAAGACTATGTTTCATGAAACATACTACATGTTGGTAAAAGTTCATGGGGCAAATCACCAGTTAAACCATTAAAATAAAATAAAAAAATTATTGGATAATTGAATAAAAAAGGGCCCAACCGGGTTCGAACCGATGACCTCATGATCTGCAATCAAACATGCTTTTCAAGTGCTCTTCCACTGAGCTATGGACCCGTGGATAAGTAATAGTTTTATATTAAAATTACTTATCTCATAACACCAACTCTTCATCTCATACATACGCATTTTATAATTCTTCTTCAAATTTCAAAAGTGAAAAAGATCAGCACCATC